TTATGTTAAGGTTTCTGCTTTGATTCCTTTTGATTTCTCAGGTCTTTAGGATTAACCAGAGAGAAAGGAGAGTTGGCATCTAAGAGTTCTACAGCCAGATGGCTGAGACATGTGACACAGCTGTGTCTAGCCTCAGCGCCAGAGACGGAAGGCCCTGTCCTATCAGCCAACCGCAACTGACACCATCTCACTGGGCTGCCCTGTCAAGTGATTCTCTCTGAGGGAAAGAGGGTTCAGTTCTCTTTTAGCATGCTTGCACTTGACTATCGACCTGTGTGCTGAGTAGCGTTTAATTTTTTATTTAAAGTGTGGCCTGACAATTCCCTCAGAATCACACTTGGTGTGCTTGACCTCCCCTAAGGAATACTTTTCAGAAGTATTATCATATACAATTTATTCTCTTTTGTGTGTGTATGTTGGGCGGGGCATATTTGGAGACAGGGGACAGCTGGGGTGGAGAAGAAGGGAGCACTGGTGTTGGGGGTGGAACAAAATATCAACTTTAACAGCTTTTCAAAGTTTATTCAGTTTCCACAGTATACTAAATGTATATTATACAGTGTATATTCAATATTATACACAGTATAATTAAATTTGTACTTCATTAATTGCATAAAGTACAAACTTTGTCATTAGCTCTTCAGTCCACAAATCAAATATAAGAAGTCATTTACAACAAGATTTAAATCCTAAAATAAGATACTGAAATTAAAAATTCTGGGAGCGTTATTCCTCACCTCAAATATGGTCCCCATTGTAGGAATATTGTTCCCATTGTAGAAAGAGAATTTGAAATATTTGAGAATTTACTGAGGAAATCCTGATTGCCCAGTTTCAAAGTTTTAAGAATCTGACAGTATTTTTCGCTTATATTACTGAATGCCTCATATCTTATGCTTAAATGCTCATTTGGTTCAATTTGTTTTGTTTTGCACTTCTGGAATTTTCTCTTCCCTTTAATTTACTGACTTTTGCTAGGCATTTTTGTATTTAGTTTAATGATACTCTTACAAATAATATTAAATAGTGATAGAGGTAATCTATGGAATAATGAAGGCTCATTAATATCTGCCTGATCCATTTTTCTAAAAGGCTAGAGCTTGACAACGAAGGTCACAACGTAGTGAATCCTGTTTTTCCCCAGACAAGGCTTGTTTATTTAGCTGATGATATTTGTCGAGTCCACTCAGGTACGAATGGTAACTGGAGATTATCCAGGAGTCATAAATGTGGAAATTACATTGTAACGTCACTCTTCTAAATGCTCAGACCAAAAATGGGGGCATCATCCTTGCCTCTTCTCTTTCTCTGATACCCACCATCCTGTCAGCAAATCCTCTTGGCTCTACCATTAAAGTATAATCCAGAGTCTGACCCTTTCTCACCACATACCATTCCACTCTAAGCCACCATTTCCATGCTGGATTACTGCAGTAGCCTCTTAACTGTAGGGAAAATTGTGAGTATAAGATAAAAATGACAGTGAAAGAAGGCTACAATATCAAGTAAGAAAGCAGGTAAGAAAGAATTCCATTTGGGAGAATGTCACTTACCCAAAGGCAGAAATCTATTAAATTGTTTTGAATCAGCACACTGATTCACTCATGAAAACAAAACAAAAATAAATAAATAAAATTTTGTTGAGAGATTACTATGGGTAAATACTATGGGTATGCTATGTGCTAAATTTTAAAAGGAATAATACAAATTATTGAATTTTTAGTCATTTTATTTTAGAGTTTAAATTCCTAATTAATTTTAATTCTAAATTAAAATCCTAATTTAAAAATCAATTGATCAATTTAAACTGACAAGAAAAATCATGAGTTTGAGGATCCATTATTTTATCTTTGCCATCATAAAGGTAGATATTTGGAGGCATTGTTTTTCTTTTTTTACCTAACAGAATTCTGGATATGTCTCTGAGCTAGGAGAAGATAGACAGCAAGCTCACAAAGCTAACCTACAGTAGCAGATACGCTCCATATTCATCTTAAATTCTACGTTTCCTCTATGAACCAAAGTTTTGGGAATGCCACAATGAGTTCATAATCTGATGAGAGGGATGAGGTATGAAAATCAAAACAAAACTCCACAAGTCAAAAAGGCGGGACTGGCTTATATTGGTGATCTGTTGAAGTTCCTTTCACCCCAAGGACACTGATAGTAGTTTTTCCATTCTACTATGTGTAACTAATGTAATGCAAACTTTACATTTTTCCCTAGTTTATCCTCCAAAACCCTAGGAAGCAGGTAGTATTAACCTTATTTTTCACATGAGGAATCTGACCCTTAGGAACAGTAAGGAATTTGCCCAAGGTTGCCCACATTACCACCGTCTGGATTGAAATCCATATCTGGCAGACAACAAAGCCTAGGATTTTTCCACTCTACCACAAGGCCTTTCAGCAAGAAATTGTCCCTTCTCCAAAGGGTTTCATAATCCAATGATGACAAATCATCCAACAGATTTATTTTCAAACTAGATGAAAAGGTGGATCATAATCTTCTGCGGGGAAGTGATCTCTCTGTTTTGCAATTTACCCCTATGGAGGCATTTGTATTTTTAAAAAGCTCCCCAGGTAATTATGATCACCTCCCAGCTGCTTTCCAATGCTCTTCTCCCTCCTCTTCACCTGGTCGACTCCTCCTCACCTGGACTGAACTATGGTGAATTCACCATCGCCGGGCCTTTTCCGGCCAATTAATTTACCCTCTGCATTCCTCTTGCGTGATGCCCTCAATGAGCTCATCACATCTATCCACAATTACTGATTTACATGAGGTTTGCCACCTTTTGACTAGGGAGCTTGTTGAAAGTAAGAGTTGCATTTTGCGTCTTCAGTACGTAGCACAATGTCTCACACTCAATAAAATGTGTTTCAGAGGACTAAACTGGTAAACAAAAATCCCAGAGCCACTTGGAAATAGCCTGAGAAAAATCTTCAAATCTGGTTTATCGCTCGTTACACCTAGTGAATTAACTTTGTAATTCAGTAAAAATTAAAACACAAAACAATTTTCTAAGTTCCACGCGTAAGCCATCGCCCTTTGATGCGGAAGCTCCACAGAGAACTACGTTTGCCGAAATCCCTGAGGCCCAGTCGTGGTTGGTTTGCTGACGGTTCTTGAAAGCCTGTCACATCAACCAATACTGTGACGAAAATTTCCCTGCGCAGGGCAGTAGGCGGCCAATCACAAAGTAGAGGGCGGGCACTTCTGATTAGGCTTCAGAAAGCCCTCAGTAGCTCAGAGCCGTCAGGGATAGGGAGTTAGTAGCCTAGGAGAGTATCCTTCCTCTCCAGCCCCTCCCCACGAATTAGAGTTAGTCTTTATGCGCTTGCATACTGCTTTACGTTTTCCTTAGTTTCTACATCCTTCCTAATCAAGTACCTCTGCTTCCCATCCACCTTTCCTTGTTGAACTCACTCTCGGGAAAGGGTACCCGCATAATTAATCTCTTCTCCTTTTCAAACTCGAGACAGATATTTGTCTCTAAGCATCCAAGTGGGATTGTGACAGTGAAGCAGTGGAAAGGTTTGAGCGAAAACTTCATTCTTCCCTCCTTTCCCCTTGCAAGAGTGGAGAAGCTACTGGGGATTACTTAGTGGATAATCAGCATTACCGGGCGGATTGAAGGTCTGAGTGTCCGCGCTGTGTTTACTTCCACCCTCGCTCCCGCTCGCATCTCCACCCACGCTAGCGTGCGGACTGAATCCAGGGCTGGCGTGTCACTGGTCGGGGCAAACACCCAGCCCTGGAGCCGTTTCCCTTTGGCATCCTCTTCCCATTCTAGCAGCTACCTGCCATTGGCCATGCTTTCATCCTACCAACAGTAACAGCTACAGGAAAGAATTCATTTTTCCCTTTCTAGGTTCATCTTTCCTGGTACCCTTTCTAAGTCTGTCATCCCCTTGCCACAGACATAACCGTTGTCTAGACGCTGTTTTTCAAAATCCAAATCCAAATCAATCCAAAACAAAGCCCATCAATAAAGCAACAACAATAATATTGCAGCCAGCAGCCGGGAGTGTGTGCCTCATTAAAGGGTGAGAATATAAACCCCCGCTTCAATGACCGATTTTGAAATAAAGGATTCCTGCTGCTTGTTAGTCATCAACATTTTTACTCTCCCAGCTGCAGGAAAAGCAGCTGCATCCTCTGGCAAGGCGATTGAGATGGGAGAAATTTAGCCACGGTCTGGGATTTTCGCAGAGGATAATTTAAACCCCAGCTCCACTCCGGTGGCTGAGGAGGGGGTGGGTACGAGCGGTGCGCATGCTCAGCAGCCCGGCTCCGCCGAGGCCCAGCTGCCGCCACCGCCGCGGCCGGTGCTGTAACCGAGGCTGCCGCTGCTGCTCCGAGCGGGCGTTGGTGCCGTGTGCCGAGGCGCCCTATCAGGCGAGAGGGAGCGGCCGGGCGGGAGCGCGGGCGGCGGCGGAGCCTGAGGTGGGCAGCCGGGGCTCTGAAGGAGCGAGGGCGGGCTGAGCCAGCCTCGGAGGAGCGAAGCGGAGAGCTCTGGGACCCACCCCGGGCGCCCTGCGTGCCATGGCCGGCGGGCAGCGGCGCTGAACGGCCGGGAGGCCGAGCGGCGGCGGCGGCGGACGGAGAACCGGCGAACCCCGGGAGGAGGAGAAGCAGGAGCGGGAGGAAGCGCCGAGGGACTGCGGGGCCCGGGTGGGCGGCGGGGCCGCGGGCCATGGACTCGGCGGCGGCGGGGGCGAGCCGGGGCGGCGGCGCGGCGCAGAGTCAGCCCGCCGCCAGGTGAGGCTAGGCGGAGCGGGCTCGGGGCGCCGCTGCCACTGCTGTGCCGCCGGGCCGCGGAGCGAGTCGGCGGCGGCGGCGGCGGCTCAAGCGGCGCCGCAGCAGCCGCGGCGAGCAGCGGCGGCCTCGGAGGAAGAGGGGTCGGCGCTCGGGGTTCTGGCGGCCGCGGTTCTCCCGTCGCAGTATATCCTGCTCGGAGTATCTTTTGCTTCTCCCCAGCTGCCTCCTTCCCCTCACACTGACACTCTGTCCCACACCTCCGCGTCCTCGGTCGAAGCTGCCTTCGGCCCGGGCTGGTTCCCCCCCGCCTGGGGACGCCTCTTACCTCTCCTCCCGGGCTGCGGGGGACCCCGCCGAGACCATGAGGAAATTCAACATCAGGAAGGTGCTGGACGGCCTGACCGCCGGCTCGTCTTCGGCCTCGCAACAGCAGCAGCTGCAGCAGCAGCACCCGCCTGGGAACCGGGAGCCCGAGATCCAGGAAACGCTCCAGTCCGAGCACTTTCAGCTGTGCAAGGTGAACGGAGCGCGCAGACCCGCGAAAATCGGGGTCGTTTTAGGGGCAACTCAGGCTTTACACACGAGTCGAGGGATAGAACGCCAATAATAATCATACCTCGAATAAAGGTCTCGCTCCTCTAGCACACTTTGCTTGGTGGGCTATTTTGGAGATTGACATCATCTTACTCCTTTTCGTTGAATTTCACGTGCGGCAGTCATTTCAAGGTTGCTTCTAACGTATTATACTGACCTTAATCTTATGGCTTTTATATTCAAGCATTTTAATACATAATTCACTGACTTCCAAGTTTCCTTTGGGAACAGTGTCTAATGAATGTTGTTTATCAAAAAGCCAAACGTGTTCAACTAGATATTTGCTCATCACTTTTCCCTTAAAATGTGGTAGGAGGCTTAAAATATGAAATCATAGGGTCTTTCTATCATTTTGTTTGGTGAAAAAGTTAGAGCTGTGATTTTTGCCTATTAATGGCACGACAGTTGCCATAGCGGTCTGTAATTCAGAAAGAATGATGCAGCGAATTAATTCACCAGCTGCTCAATGAGAAATACAAACTTGTGTTGGTATTAATACCAGGCATTCATAAGTCAGAGTTTCTTAAAAGTGTGTACATACTTTTTTGCCCCAGTGTCCTAAAATTATTAAGGATTTAATAGCAAAATGCAAAAATATATGCTGTGTTTATTTTCATTCTGTTAGAGTTGCAAAATGATGAGATAGATGTTTGCTAATTGCTTTACTGAATCCTTAATTAGAGTAATTATGACAGCATTTCCTTAGAAGTACTTGTATTTAGCATCCAAATAAAGTAATGATGAAGTTAGCACACTTGAAAAAAAGCATGAATTGCATTTTTAAATGAATATACAGAATTTTTGACCACTGCAAACTTCAGTAATTTGTTCTCAGACATAATAGTATAGAATATTAAATTTTCTTCTAAAGCCTACCACTATGATGGAAAAGCAGAAATTAAGGTGTAACACTGGGATAGTTTTTTTGGTTTTGTTTTTTTGGTTTCAGATTCTATGTGCATAGGTTTTTGTCTGATGTAGACTTCATAGTTTTTTTTTTTAATAGCAGTGCATGTATATGTGTTTTGCATCAATTATAATTGCTTCTCGGTTCTAATACCTCTATTGACTTTTCTGTTTTAAAACTTTGCTTTCTGCCTTGGTTGCTGTGATGTCACTTGCCCATCCCTAGACTGTTCGCCATGGATTTCCCTATCAACCCTCAGCCCTGGCCTTTGATCCTGTACAGAAGATCCTGGCAGTGGGAACTCAGACTGGTGCTTTAAGGCTGTATCCTTTCATTTAATTTAATTTTATTTTTTAACTTTTACTGTATTCTCCCCAGTCCTTCTGTATTGCTGATTAGTTGCTTTTCCTGTTTAATGCCAAAGAAATGGTATGATCAGGTATTATGTGAAATCATGTGGTTGTATCTCTCCCCATGATTATACTTGCATGCAGGTTGTATGTTGCTGTGATGTTTCTTAGGTCAATTTATAGTAGCTAAACACGTATCCACATAGAGTTCTAAAGTTTTGCTCTAATAATTACTGTCTTTGCAAGGAAGTAGAAGTTTCTAAGGGGAAATATATCTACTTATACTAGTGGTCTATTGAACGGACTATGTAGAGGATGAGGTTTAAAGACAATAGCACAAGGCACATTTTATTTGCTTTTTTAAAAATATTGTGCATGGTAGATGTTGAAATTATGACTATTTATTCTAATGAATTAGAGGTTGAATTTGAATTTGTTTCTGACTTGTCCATCTAGAAAAATCATTAGAAAACAAATATAAGTTTTATATAAATAGTTATGAAGTATTGCTATTTCTAAAAGTTTTAGAGCATTTTGTTAGTATAATGCAAATGGAGAAGTGTACTGTCTTGATATGTTTTCCCTTTGATGGTCTACGTTTGTTATGTATATGTAAATACTGTTAGGTTAGCTGTACGTATTAGTATAGAGGATTATTTTTCTTGGTTATGCATGAACTGTAATTGTTTTGTCATAGCATTTTTTTCCAAATACCTACTCATTCTTCAAGATAATTTTTTCAGTCTGAACAATGGAGAATACTTCACAATTCCTCTCAAACTATTTAACTTGAAATAAAATTGTGTTTACTTTTACTATGATATTTACCCATATTAACCTAAATGCCCTTAATTTTAAACTTAAATATAAAATTTTAAAAAGAAAATGCTTTGTTCATCCATCAGTAGGATATCTGCTTCCTACATATTATTGAAGTAACATGTTGGTAATAAATAGACGAAAACACTAGATGATAAGAAACACGGAGGAGCAGGAAACTTTACTCCCCACGTGTTAGATTTATCTGGCTCCTGAGAAGGAGGAGGGGAGCCTGCATTTGAGTTAAACATGTGTCTTACCTTTTTTTATAATCTTTTAAAATCTTCATTTCAAAGTAGTGCTATACGTGGTATCAGGATATTTTATTTGTGATTAGTGTGCTATGTTCAAAATGCTTATAAAAGTTTTCACTGAATTGTGTTACTAAGTGAAGTCTATCATTCATAGTAAATACCAGTAGTGCACTCATACCTGTAAAAATGGTAAAATCTGACCAAGCTAGATCTGAACCTGTGAATTTCTAAGACAGTATTTCTAAATAGTTCTTACCCAGATATCTAGATAGTTGACACTAAAATATTTTTTACTTCAATTGTATAGATATTTTTATTCCGGTATCCAGTGATCAATACCTTCTAGTTTAGGGCTCCTATTTTAGTCTTGTGAAGATGGGAATAAAATTAATTTTGGTAGTGTGGGTGCTAAGTGTTCAGCAAAACCCCGTGTAGTGACAAAGTAGTGTGGTATTGGATCCAGATGGACTGTTTAGAATGAAAAGCCAATTTTTTTTTGTTCACAGCAAAAGAGTATCACCTCTGGACTAAAAGGGGGAAAAAAAAAGTTGAATTAAATCAACTATTTTTAGATTATTTTGGTTTTCTTTTAAGTGGGTTCAATTTTTACTATTTTCCCAGTTGAGACCCAGTGTGGTCTCAATTTTCTTACGGTACATAACTTTTTTCCTTTAACAGCCAGTCTGCTCCTTTTATAACTTAATATAATCATGAGTACCGCAAGCAAGGCTGATTTTATAAAATCAAATGTTTTTCGTAGACAAGACTTTTTACCCCTACTGCATTTGAGGAATTAGCAAATTACACAAAGGGAGAAGTTAAAATTGAAATGTTAGGCCTAATGCTAACTGTCAAATGAAAAGGATCAAGTGTATGAAATCATCACTTATATGTCTTTTGCTTTTATACATTTTTTTATAGTTAAATACTGTATGAAAAGTGAATCTGTAATTTACAGTTACACTCTAAATTTTTTTTAGAACCTCTCACTGTATTTACAGTGAAGTTAGGAAAGCAGTTTACCAAATACATTTTTATTTTACCTTTTTACGAGATTTATATGAACATTCCATAGTGATAAATTGGTTTGCCTACCAGTAATACCACTAGTCATTCCTTCTGTTAGGTTTAAGTAGGAGATAAGCTTATGAGCTTTATTATGGCTTTGATTTGTAGAAAATCTAAAGTAAAATAGAAATCTTTTTTTATTTTAAAGTAAAATAAAAATCTTTATCTAAAATAAGACTAAGATCTTTTTAGTTTTACATAATTTCCACATACGTGGCTTAAAATTTGTTAATTTCTCTGTTCTTTGTTTTGAAAGCTAGACAACTATAGTTTATTTCCAAGCTCCATATTGGTTTAATGTGCAGACTTAATAATAAGTCTCTTCTCTTGCCCTAGTTCTTTTATATTTTTCACTGTTGCATTTGGCTTCTTACAATCCTTCTCTTTATTTTCTTCTCATATTAGACTCTTGTAGTCTGTCATACATTTGTTCTAAAAGATGTCTTCAGAGCAGAAATATACTTGTAAATAAAGTCTTCTTTCATCTAACTGTCGAGCAGAGTAGGAGGTTTTCAAAAGTGGGACTGGGTTATTAGAATTTGAATTGCATGTCTAATTTAACTAATAGAATGTCTTCCTAAATGTTGGAGGACTATACTAAGTTATCTATTTTGAGGTTAGAAAAAAAATGATGAAGAATTTACATCTGATATCTAATGTTTGTAGACAAGAATTGTGAAAATCTGAATCCTTAAACAGTATCTAACAAATGAAGCAAGATAAATTTAATGTATTTGCTGCATTAACGTATAGCAAATGGCTGATGTCATTATAAACATGCCTTATGTTCAACCTTTTTGGCTTCTAGAGTGAATATGAGGTTGGAATGAACTTACTGATAGGAAGCAGGGAAGCATAATTTTATATGCCAAGTTATACAGTAGTGATTTAATTATCTTAATTCTCCTCCTTTTGCCATGTAGAAATAGGTACAGTTTGGTTCTTCTGAGTAATCTAAGCATCAGAACTATTGAGATAAAGTAATCATCTATCCCCATATGGAATAAGTAAAGGGGAGAAAAAAGGTTCTAAGTGAAGAATGAAGGCATTTCTAGTAATTCTGCTGTTGTCCTTATCTGGACTCCTAGTTTACTAGTATAATTTTGAATTGCTTCATAGTCTGTTGTAACTATGGGCTACCCTGATCTTATTTTAAGGTATTTTCGTCTAAACACAACAAGGTTGTTTTATGTATGAGTATCTCAAGGACTGTGCCAAAAAATGGACTTTCAAATTTACTTAATCTTTGTAAAAAATTGAGTTTTTAAGTATCACAATTATCAAAGGATCTCATTTATTGTCTTCCTGACTTGTGGAAAATATAGTAGGCAGTCTCTGCTTTGATAAGGCATGGGCTTGTCTTTCAAATTGCAGTGTAATTTTGCTGAATGCAGGCTTACAAAATGATTTCTGTACATTGGAGTTCATTTAACAAGCACTTGTTAAGCGTTAACATTCGATTATGAATTGTGGCCTTATTTCTTGTTCGTGTCTTGCCACTAAAGAATTATGTGTCCTTGAGTTAGTTTTTTCTTACTTTTAAAATGAAGGTGCTGTATTAGATGATTTCTTCGAGAAACAACTTTGTGATTCTAAGTAGCTATATATTGTTCTAGGTGAGTATGCAAAAGAAATGAAAATATGATTCTTATGTTCAAGGACTAGAACTAGATAAACATAATTGAAATAAGAGTTATTTAGGGTCTACTCACATAACACAAGGTCAGACTACAGGGAAGTTTATTGCGTTTAATGACACGTCTGCACATTAGTAGATGAGGCTTGAGAATGGCAGGGAAGGAGGAGTCGGAAAAGTATTCTAGGCTAACAGTGTGGGCAAAAGTAGAGAAAAGGGATCATGGTAGTTTAGAGGAATACTAGAGACTGCTTGGAATTGTGATCCTAATTGAGTTGGAGGGAGAAATAAGGAACCAGTAGGTGGAAAACCTTGAGTGCTAGCCTGAGTTATCTGGGTGTTATTCAGTAAGGAATCATTGTAGGAATCATTATATAAGGAGATATGCTCTCAGGAAGACCTTGTGATTTTTAGGATGATTAATAATGCAGTGGTTGAAAAGAATAGAACCAAGGGAACCTTAATATGTAACTAAATCCATATGGGTAGTAAAGTGGATCCAAAGCAGGAATAGTAGAATGGGAACTGGAGAAGGACTTGATGACTTCTTTGTATCAGATCTTAGAGGGAGCAACTAAAGGTGGTGATAAAGTTTTCAAATACAGCACCGAGGCAATTACAAGACAGAAATGGAAAACTTGGTAAAGAGTGTGGCAGAGTGATGTGGAGTTTGGAATTATGTAATCTTTTACTTTTATCCTATTGCCATTTCGAGAAGGTAGCCTAGACTGATTCTAGCTTGAGAATTTGATGCGCTTTTACATTTGATTTCCTTTGGGTTGGTCCTCGGTGATTTCCTGGGTTTTGTTATTGAATCAAAATAACTTAAGGTCACTGTTAGCTGTTTGGCTTTGTCCATTTATCCTTGGTCAGTGTCTCTCAGTAGTGCTAGTATTTGGGGCTGGATAATTCTGTGGGTTTGCCCAGCACATTGCAGGCTATTTAATATCCCTGGCTCCCACTTACTAAATGCCAGGGTTACCTCTGCTGTTAGTGTGGTAACCCACGTGCCCTCACACACTTCCAGGGGCTCCTGGTTGAGAACAACTACACTTTGTCCTAGTTCTTCACCAGTTAAGTAGGAATAATAACCCAATTAGCTCATGAAGGGAGCGTCAGGATTAAATGCAATAATGTGTATGTTTTTAGGACCATGCAAGGACTGTTTTGGTGACTATTCAATATGATATTATTAT